GCACATTCGGGGACATTCGTCGAGAAGGGCGTTGGTACGCTGTACAAATTCCCCATAAGCGAACGGAATGTCAATCTGCCTAATAACCAAGATCTCCCCGTACTGTAAGGGTAGATTATCTTCGGATGTAGAGAGCTGCCCATCATCCATTTGTTGTCTTTAACGTCTGTTGTGTAGTATAAAAATTCGTTTTCGATTTCTCGGCCGCGAAAAATGTTTTCAGTTGCAAAACTTGAATTTGCATTGACGTCTATCTTTTTCGGCGCTGGTTCGGGGAATCGGCTTTAATAAAATGCATAAAATATAGGCAAAACATTCTGAAATACTGAAGCGTCGTATCGGAATTTTCTTTGCCCATAATAAAATAATAATTAAATAAAAACAAAACCGCTTTCACTATACAACAATTTGTAATACGATTAAACCTACAATAATATTTACAATTGACATGAAATAAATCATTTGATTGGGCTCTCATGAGATCAAATGTCAAATGGCTGGAGCACAGAAACTGACTCGCCAATCAAGCGCTGACCTTGAGCTGAATGCCCCTTTTCCAACCCCCAAACGCCAGCAAAAAACTAACCTTGAAATGCAAAGAAAGTGCTTGTTGTTGCAATTGCAGTTGCACTTGCATTTGCAGTTTTTGCAGTGAAAACTGAACTGGTTTAGCCACTTTTTACTTTGTGGTTTTGCATCCGTTTGTGTATCGCTCGCTTATCGCTATGTAAAATCGGAAAAATCTTGGAAAAAAAACCAACTCAATTGAATATTGGGGGGAAAACCCATGGCGTCTTGCATACATATGTGTGCTGTGAATTCTCAATTAGCTGTGAGCACTGCTTATGAGATAGATATGTATATATACCGCAGATCAAAATGCGGTCAATAGATTGTTTCGTCTTTATGTACGAGAGGAGTATGCATAGTATTTACAGTCAGGGACACAAGTATTTGCCCATCATTCTGACCATCTTTCCCAGTAATTGATCTAGCTTTTCCCCAAAACGGAGTACAATAAAATGTTACTTGCTTTAGAGCTCTCATTTTACACTGTGCGACAGAGATTTATCCAAATATATATTTCCTTTCGCAGAAAATAGTGGCTTTAATGCTAATATGTTTTAAATTTGCCCCGGGGTAAGCAGACTTCTGTGTATAACTGTTCGGGATTGACACAAGCTCTCGGGCGGCCGGCAAGCAGCTGCTCTGTTCTGCCCTGCCCACACACAAATTGTTATTGCTGCCGTTTTGGCAAACGAAAAGGCGAATCGAAAACAAACAGAGAGCCCACATAGAGACCCACAGAGAGGGGAGAATAATTTGGAGAATAGCAAAGTAGCAGTTAAGCGAAATGCAGCAATATTTAGCTCTGTGATTAATGCTGAGTGAGGCAGCGGCCGGGCCACCACCAAAGCGTCGGAGTCGGGGCACTGGGAGCGTCTTAGATAAGAGTTTTGATGATGACTCAGCGCAGCAAGGCAACAGTTTGTATCTTCTATGTATGCACACGTGTGTGTATCTTTTCGGCTCTGGTCCAGCGTCATGTGCTGCCAGATCCCCCCCTGTGCAGATTCCAGATTTTGAGTTTTAATCCCAAAAAGTAGTATGCATACAAGAATTTTTGATAGTGTTTCTGGAAAAAATTGTTATCTTCCATCCATATACAAAGATAGAATCAGATACAAAAGGATACACCCCTCTTGGCCCCAATGATTTTTCATTTGAACTGAAAAGCTTTTTTCGGCTAATGGAAAGTTTTATTGCAGCAGCCGCTGCTGATAACCGCCAGTACGTACTTATCGCAGAACGGAAAGAACAGACAAAAGTGTGTACGGCAAAGGTAGGTGCCAGCAGAGGCACAGTGGACACTCGCCATGTGGGAACCGCGACAGTTGTTCCCGAGACACTGGGGGGTAAAATGTCGTTTCTAGTAAATATTGCATGGCTTGGTCATATTTATTATGGTTGCTTTTCGAGTGGACGCCGCCCCCCTTCTTGAGGGCCCCACAGCAGAGTATAATTCCCATTGGGGAGCCCACTCCATGCGCCCATTGGGGATCCCTGACCAAAGGCCCCACAGCGGTCTCCTCCGCCATTCGCAATGAATGTGGTGTTGTTTCTTGCCTCAGACTTTTCGCTGCTTCGACATTTTTTACTTTTTGTTATTCAATTTTGTATAAGCAACACGAACACACACACACACACACACACACACACACATACCCCGCGTAAGTATGCACGATGCCCGATCCGATGCGCGCACGTACAATGTGTTTCGTTTTGTGGTATTGTTTTTGCACTCATAAATGTTTAATAAGCGTGTACGTATTTGTATACACAACAAATGCTTGCCTGTAAACGGGCATGTGTGTTCGTGTGTCTGTGTGTGTGTGTGTGTACGGGTTCTGCCTGCCGTACAGCGATGACAGTGGAGAGTGGAGGAGACGCCGCCACCGCACAAACCAAGTGTTATTTAAGTAATCATTTATCGTTGTTACTCGCCTGACATTTTGTACGATGTTTGTCGGGTTTCGTTTCGGTTTCGGCAAAGCAGGGCATTGGGTATATTGGGCTTCTGATCATTCGGATCTACATACATACATACATACATATGTATCTCTTTCTGCCCTTCACGAGTATCCTCTCTCTTTAGAGAGAGGTGCTGGATAAGCTTTCGGTTTCGAAATCGAAATATCATCGAAAATAAAAAGAATGATCCCACGATCAGGTCACAATCTTTGCCCTAAATTTAATCTCATTTCATAGAATATTTATAGTATATAGACAGGTACATTTGTAGATGTGCGCATCATTTGGTGTTTTTCCATTTTGCATATTTTTTTGCTAAAAATTTCACCTCAAGAAGTGCCTCGTAGCATCTTTTGATAAAACTATTTCGCTCAGCGGATATTGCCTTTGATTCAGGAATAATTAATCTCTTATCAGATTTTTTTGACAAATTTTCCCGTCGCTAACCTAATAATTTCACGCCAAATATCATTTAGGAAGGCAAATCAGTTTTTAATGGATTCGGCGAAGTGGTCCTATGACCTTTTAATTCGACAAACAAATACAAAATTGTCTCTTATCTCTGACAAATTGTACATGTTTCAATGCTTATTAAGGCACGAAAAACTTCCCTAGATTTATGACATCTGACATTTCCATTTTTAAGATTAAAAAATATACAAAATATGCAGGATCATGGTGCATCCTGTGTGAAAGCAGTTCAGTTATAGTATCGATGTATGGGCTGTAATTTTTATTGGACCGAAATTTAATTTTGCAAATGTCACGTATAATCTTTGGCGTTTTGTTCGAAATATTAATCAGAAAATATCATCAGGGTTCAGGGTTCAGGGTTTTTGGGGGCGAGCATTTAGATTAATTTCTAATCGTTTTATTTGTTCTGCAATAATGGTTTCCTTTGAATCATTAAAATACAACAAATGAATCTGTCATATGATTTTGGATTGATTGCGATTGATTCAAAAACAGCATAAGCCCTCGCCTGATAAGCTGCAAGTTTGTGATTTGTGTAAGTACAGCAGAGCCTTGCCAGCAGATACCCCAGACATCGGCTTTAGCTGGGGATGGTGTATGGAAGGCCCGGCCCCACTATCCACTGTATGGGCAGTGCTCCACTTACAATACGTCTCTGCGGCCAGAACGATTAAATGCAACGCAATAAAACGGCTTTTGATAACAAGTTATCAGTGTAAAAGAGTTCAAAAGAGAGAGAGAGATAAGAAGGAGAGCAACACATTCAGCCAAGGACTGGGGATTATCGGAAATACAAGGGACAGAAATAGCTTTCTGTGGATTGGCTCATAACAGCTCGGCTCATAAAAGATCGATCCTATGGATATTACACAAAGTCCTCTGAATTTTTAGTAAACAGCAGTATTTAAAATGCTGATCACAAACGAAAAGAATGCCTTCTGAGAAGTCTAACAAAGGAAAACCTTGCTTATCGTATCTCGTATCTATTAAAACATCTATTGGTGACGATTTAGCGGTGGAAGGGGAAACGAGGGATTTTGTAGATTTCAGGTCTGCCAGCGGGCACAAAAGGGTTAAGGCTCTCGCAACGTCATTGACACGAACCGTCCGCTGACAAGAGTAATTTGTCCAAAATGGTAAGAGGCAGCGGCGGAGGACAGGCCAGGCCAGGCCAGACCAGGCCAACAAGTCACTGGACGGCGCGCAACACACGTCGAAAGGGGAACATACGAGGAAGACGAAGAAGTGGAGAGAACGAAGCAGAGATAAAAGTGTTGAGCGCGCAGAAGTCGCGACGGAAAAGTATGAAAGCAAGAGTAGCATGTGAATATGAGGAGCATGATAGGGCGATAGACGGAGAGGGGGAGAGTGGGAGTGGGAGACGTAGCCAGAGCCCCTTCAGTCAGCCAACAGGGCGATGTAAGAGCGAGGGAGAGAGCGGAGCTAATATATACCCGATTGTACTGTGGTGTGTTCATGTTCTGTTGTTGTTATTTGTGCTATTGCACTCGAAATTCTTTTTGCCTTTGTTTTTATGGATTTTCCAGGAAATATAACCATGAACGAAGATGGCCACAGCGACGGCAACGGCAACGGCAACGGCAACGACATGCGCTGCCAACAATAAGAAACAGGAGCGCTGTATGTATGTATATACCATTGCCATGTGCATATACATCCATACATATGTACATGTGTGTTATTTTGTGTATACAAAATATAAAAACTTCAAGTGGAAACACATGATTTTTCATGGGTCAAAGAAAACGCAATTTGTTGACTTCTTAAACACACAATTTTGGAAACTTGCAGACAAAAGAAAACATTCTGCGCAAAATGCAGTATCCCGCCCACAGTGCGGCGAAAAACAACTGCAGCAGGCGCAGACGTCACTGCCTGGGAAGTCCTCCCACACATACCCAAACACGCACGAGCGTTCCCCCCCCCCCCCCCCCCCACGGTTCGAACGTAGATTGCTCTTTTTTTCTATTTACCTTTTGGTGCGCACCAACACAAGCACAGCCGGACAGTCTAGAATGTGTAAACACGTACAGGTCGCGCCTTTGATTGTATGGGTATTTGGCGGCGCTGTTGCTTTCGATATATTTTTTTGTTATGTATTTGCCGTTTTATTTTTAAATCGTGCACACACACAACTCACGTACGAACACACGCACACATCCGCTTCTTTGGATGCCTCGGGGTCCTCCGGGATGAAAAAGCGCCGGCACACGCCTTAGAAGAAGGGTCTCCACGCGATAAAACCTTGAAAACGGCACTTCAAAAGGATGCAACTTGTTGGCAAATTTGAAGGACAGGAAATTTTTAAATATTCCTCTGCTCTTTCACGCTTGTTGCGCGATTGGCCGCCCGAATGCAAATATTTCGTGAATTGTATCAACTGCTATGTTTATAGCCGTTTTTAGTTACTAAATAATTTATTTATTGTTCGACGACGCGCGCAGCAACCGCTCAATTCAAAAGTTGTCAGCTATTTTGTCGTTTCCCTGCTCCGATCGAAAAATTTGTGAGCGCTGCCGTTCATTCTGCTGCTATTCCTAATCCTACTACTTTTTTCAGGTTTGATGGTGATTGTGTCTGAAAAAACTCCCAAAAACGCAACCAGCGTCAAACCAACTCTCACAACAAAGAGCGAGAGAGCGAACGTATCAGAGCCGAACGACATGGGAGAGAGAGAGAACGATGGTCGAACCGAACGCTAAAACATGTTGCCGGCACAATTTTCCACAGGGAAACATCGATATATGCTATCGATAGCCGTCTTTCATTTGTTTATAAAATTATTTGCGTCTATTTATAAATATTTAACAGAAACTGGTCCGGTAGGAACAAGTTGGCTTCTCTACACAATCGTACATATGTGTGCACACATATACATGCGTAAACAACTAGCCATGTCTCTTTCCGTATAATTAATTACAATTAATTGGTTAGCCCAGAAGAAGCCAAGGTTAACTACTGCCACTGCGTTACACTGTTCTAAGAAGCTGCAGAGGGCAACCCCCCAGCATACCATACCCCGTGCTTTCACCTGTTGTGCGCAGCAACAAGCGCCAACGCAAATCTCGCCCCCGTCGCACAGGGCACAGGGTGGGAAACGACCGACTGGGCGAAGCAACAGGAGGGCGGTGGTGGGGGTGACTCGCAAAATCAATAGCCATTTAAATAATTACGCCTGCATTTTTGCAGCCATCTCTCACCTTTCGTTGCGCGTTGCGTCCCTTGCTGATTTTTGGTGGAGCGGCCGCTGATGGAGGAGGTAGGAGAAACACTTTTTGGCCGCATTCAGGACGCGGCGGTGTTTGTCGCAATTGGAAATATGGCTGGTTTTATTACTTTATTAAAGAAATTATTTTTTAATTGTTTGTCATTACCGTGCAGTTGATCGACCTGCTATATTTTTGCCGCACTTTGCCGCATTATACCGCCGAAAAGACTTTTGCATAAATTTAATTTATATAACTTGTTTGCGTTTATATTTACATTATTTTATTATTTTAAATTTTAAATTTATTACAAATTTATGGTTCCAGGCATGCAGTGTGACCAGTGATAAAATATACGGTCTGACTCTCAAAAACTGACGTCACAGTTTCAAAATATACCAAAGATATACTGACGAATTATTTGTATTCGAATTCCATCATATTCCTCGATTTCGATATTCGGTTGCTAGCTAGGATTCTTAGCACTGAACACATAATTTAATCCGATTGATGCATCATTTTCCTCTAAACTCTCATCTTTATTGGATAAAATATGGTTTAAACAAACACGGTCAACAACAATTTCCACATAACCAATTTTCTTACATGGTAACCACACACTAACTGCACATTTGCTTTAAAATAACTACATTTGTATGTAACAAGCAAAAGCGACACCTGAAGGGAAAATGTGTACCTTTCAAAAATGTTTTCCCTTGTTTTTCATATGAGCGCCATCGAGGCACCAGTATGAAAAAGCGCCGTTATTCACGTTTAGACATGCGTTTCGAAATTTTCAAAAGATTTAAGTTTTTGATGGCAAACGATTCGATGCAGATCACGAATTCTATGTGGGCTGGAACATGGCTCTAAATGGCATTTCTACACGGTTTTTACATTGGTGCATTGGTGAAGAGGGTGAGTCCATAATATACTGGAAAATACTAGAAAATACTATGAAAAGTATGAAATTTGCCAGGTGCGTGAGATAGACATGGTGGCTAAACTGGCTTATTTTAGGTTCATTATGTTCGGAAATCATATTCCTGAATTTTGAATTTCGTTTAGTTTTATTCGATTGAAGAATAAATTTTCTACAAAATATCTTTCAAGTACTCCCTATTAGTGGTAGTAACTTGTTGCTTGTTAACAGGGGGCTTGGAAAATATTTATAATCTTCTTCCTTTAATTAATATTAAAATTCTTCTCTCCAAGATGATTTGAAACATTAGTGATGACTTCTTCTCAAATTTACATGTTTTAGACATATTTATGCATATTTTCATGCCTGTATATGAAATCTAAAAACATCGATGTTTGAGAAAAAACATCGATGATTCACATTCAAACAATTTCTATTTGGCGCTCAAGTTTGGTGGGACTTTTTTGGGATTTTCTCTGGGATTTTTCCCCTCAACAATGTCCCTTACATTCTATACTCACCTACGTATTCTTACGTGTTATGCTGCTGGCAACATTCAATTTGTATGGGCCAGACTCATGTGCCGTGAAATCGAGCAGCACTGCGCGGATTGAGCAACATTTTGCATACCCTGGGAAATGGATATTATAGAACTGAGAGAATGTTTGTCATCTAAGGCACCAATAAAGGCCAAAACTAGTCAGTTTCTGTTTTAAAGGTATTTCAACGATATTTTGAAGGTTTTGGTCTACATACAGAAGAATGGGTATCGGGATCGAGATATACATATATACAAGACCCTAATCATATGCATTAATATGTCCCAAACATAACAATCTGGAATCATTTCTATATTAATTACGTTTTAAAACAGCTTGGAAAACCAGTTTCTTCATATATATCAACGAAATAGGGTAATTTATTCATTAATGGCCTAAAATGATGTGGGCAGAGCTAATGGTTTTAGTTAGGCAGCATTATTCAACGGAATAAAGAAATTGAACAATTGGAACGATTTTTCTCTTACGTTTTATTACGTTTCACTTCTTTGACCTTTTTCGCTAAAAACATTTTTTTAGCAAAATCCAATAAAAGCAAGTATTAAAAATAAGCCAGTTAAGTAGAAAATTGATTCATCAATCGTATAAAATTATGAGGGCATGGCTAAATATTCTATATAGCTGGGAATATTCGACGGAATAAAGAAATGAGCAATTAGAACGACACTCGTTTGTTTATGCTACTGTTGTATGAGCAAAAGTGCCTTGTGTGTCTGCCTACAGTGGCTTCAAATGACAGTAAGTCCTGATGTCACAGGGCACTCCCCAAAAACAGCCGCTGTTCCACGGCTACTCCGTGCTTTCCACCTTCTTCGCATTTACAGTTAAAGTCGAGCCACAGAGTCTGCAGTTGCGATGCCAAAACGACCAGCGGCGCCCTTTGGCGCAGTTGCGGCCCACTACTCCGCCCTGCCTCAGCCCCCAAAAGACGAATTTCACTGAAAAACAATTGAAAAAGTAAGAAGAAGAACAGACCCTGGACTGGGGGTGGGGGTGGAACAGCTGTTCGTCTGGAAACGGCATTTGGGCACTGGCTTCAGGATTCTGGCGTCTGGTGCGTGTGCCGTGGGGAATGTGATTCACCTCTGCCTGTACCATCCTGCTGTTCTCGCCAGGAGCCAGGAGCACATTGGGCCGCATCTCGACCGAGTACAGCGAGGGGAACGGAACCACGACGACGAGCGGATACCCTTCGTGCGATGCGTGCGATGCGCACGCCTTAATCTACTGACCAGCAACATCTACTAGTCCGATACGGAGGCTCATCTCATCGAGGTCGCCCGCCTGGATGGCAGCAGTCGGCATGTGCTCTTGTGGAAGGGAGTGGAGAAGCCGCGTTCCCTGGTCCTCGAGCCGCGTCGCGGGTACATGTACATGGACAGGGTCGCCTCGGGCTCCATACGCCGTGCCACGATGGACGAATCCGCGCTGCAATCATGGCCGGGAGCTCATATTCGACCAGAAGACGAGACGGCTCTACTGGATGGCAAGAAGCGTCGAATACTGGTTGGCAGCTCGGACTACGTGTACTGGAGCGACTGGAGCACCGGGGACATTGATCAAGACGGGCCAGAGCCGCAGCCTCGCCAAGGACGTGCCCTGCATCCCCCCAGCTACGCCAGACTGCCGGAATGTGCCGTTGCCGGTGTCCGGAAAGAGTATCCGTGCGGAGGTGAAGCTCTCTCAAGTATTCAGCTCTGTTCTAAAACGTTGCCTCTTTTAGATTCTTGGGCGAACTCGCAGAAGCCTGGCAACATTGCCGTGCATGCCATGAAGACGAGGCGTCTGCTCTTCTCGACAGATGTCGGCAGCCATCTCGGGCCCGAGTCGATGGCAATGAGGGCGTGGAGCTGGAAGGAGTCACGGCGCTGGCCCTGGACCAACAGTACGAAGAAGTTATAGACATCAATGGAAAGAACAACTAAGATACCATATTGGACACCTCTGGACTCGTATTATCTCCTGTTCCCTCGCTACAGAAAAACCCTTGCTTTCATGCATATCCCGCAGGTGAACAACATTGCCGCCTTGGGGGATTTATGTACTGGCTGGACGACAAGGCCGGACTGGAGAGGATCACTGTCAACGGAGAGCGTCGTTCCGTGATATTCTCGCAGGGAAGCACGCAGTCACTCCCTTTTAAAGACCTTAAATATGCAATAGAGAACCTGCCGGATATTGCATTTGATGTTCAACGCGACCAAGCTGCGGATGAAGATGGAGCGAAGAGACTCTGGACGAGTGTGCCAGGTTACCACTACCACAATGCATTCTACAAGGACAAATGTGTAGTTGGCGTGTATTAACATATAAAGAAATGAATAAGTGGAAATCGTTTTGGCTTAAGCCTTATTTTAGACACAATCAAAATCAGTAGTACATCATCCCCTCGACTGGAGCCCTTCGGCCAAGCGTCAGACCTTACACAAGCGCTGAGCTGACGGGAACAGCCACGCCATCGGTTTGGAGGAGAAGCGTTTCCGATCCGACAACAACAACAACAGCATCAGGCGGAGCAGCAAAAACCGACAGCTGCCGAGGTAGATGTCACTCCACCATCCGAGTCATCCGAGGACTCCGACGACTCGGGCGTCAGTTGGGATGAGCTGAGCTCAGTGCCGCCGCGCCCGATTCCTCTCGGCACAATATCAGCAATAGCAACGAAATCAATGCAGATTAAATCCACGAAGCGGATCCCAATACCATGCGTCGCCACCTTCCTTTCGGGCTGCCCCTGCAGCAGCAGGACGCTCTATGTCCTGCTCTGCGGGCACCAGTCCTTCCCCTTCGGCAGGCTCCGATTTTTCTGCCGGATCCACTCCAACATTTGTTGCGCTTCGTATTTGGATAATGTCGTAGATAAGCTTGAAAAGAAGCGCGAGTATGATGGGCCCAGCCAGGACTCCCACCCAGTGGGCGCAGTGGGAAGTCCAGACGACGACGACTGGCTGGAAATATCTGTATGCCTTCAGGCCGACTTTTTCCACATCCGCAATACACTCAGAAATCATCTTACAGGAATGCACTTCATTCCCTATTCGGGAAAAGAAAACTCCTATGATTCGAATTAAACTGTTTTCAATTGAAATCTCACCTCTAGAAAGAACACCAAGAGCTCGCTGAGGCTCTAATCCGTTCGACACGAAGACACTGCATCCCGTAATTAAATGAAGACGAAATTTCGTTAACTGGAACAAACAATTTTGTAGGAAAAAATATAAAAATTTCCGCTGGATTTTAGATCCCTGTGACAACTTAAATTTAGGAAATTGAAATAATCGAATGAAATTATGAGTTCAGAGTTGAGTGTCTCAGCTAGCTAGAAATATTCAACGGAATTTCAAACTTGTCAGTATCTGTTTAAAAGGTACTTAAGAGATCAAGAATTGGTATCGGGATCAGGATATTTGTACAGAAAACTAATCAAATGCATGCAAATGTCTAAAACATATCATCTGAGAACATATACTTACGTTTTAAAAACAGTTTGAACAATATCTTCATATTAAATTAACGAAATAGGGTATACACGCATCATATCTTTATATTGCGACTGTTTTTTTTAACTAGTGTTTAAAGTGTTTAGAATAAAACAGTAAAGTAGAAAATTGATTCATTAATCGGGTAAAATTATGTGGGTAGAAATAAATGTTCTATATAGCTGGGAATATTCGACGGAAGATAAAAATTGAGGAATATGTAAAATAGAACTTGAATTCGTCAGTATATTTACGGTATATTTTTTAAATGAGACAGTATGTTTTGAGAGTCGGACGGTTTTTTTAACGATAAATCTGCGGTCACACTGCCAGTCAGTTTTTTGTCACAAAAAATGTTCGTAAAAATAAAAAATGCCGAAAAAGAAGACTGGACAGCGTAAAAAGGCTGAAAAGCAGAAGCTACGCCTCAAAGAGATTCGCACCCGAGAAACTCCGCTGGCCGATGTGCCCTGCAATGCGCCGATGGACTGCGACAAGTGCGAGAAGAAGCAAAAATCTAGGGCGTTCTGCTACTTCTGCCAGAGTCTGCAGCGGCTGCCGATCTGTGCCCAATGCGGAAAGATCAAGTGCATGTTGAAGACGGGCGATTGCGTGGTGAAGCATCCCGGCGTGTACACCACCGGCATGGGCATGGTGGGTGCGATTTGCGATTTCTGCGAGGCCTGGGTGTGCCACGGCCGCAAGTGCTTGACCAGCCATGCCTGCACGTGTCCATTGCAGAACGCCGTCTGCTTGGAGTGCGAACGTGGCGTTTGGGAGCACGGTGGGCGCATCTTCAAGTGCTCCTTCTGCGATGGTTTCCTGTGCGAGGACGATCAGTTCGAGCATCAAGCCAGTTGTCAGGTTAGTCCACTTGCAGGTCCATTAATCAATTTCTCCATTGGCTAAACTGAAAATTTTCGTCTGCCAGGTGCTGGAGTCTGAGAACTACAAGTGCCAATCATGTAACCGCTTGGGACAGTACTCGTGCCTGCGCTGCAAGACATGCTACTGCGAGGATCATGTGCGCCGCAAGGGCTTCAAATACGACAAGAACAAGGCCATTCCCTGTCCCAAGTGCAACTACGATACGTCCGTCACCAAGGATCTGAGCATGTCGACGCGTTCGCACAAGTTTGGCCGCCAACAGCAAGGTGGTAGTGATGACGAGGAGGGCTATGGGGGCTACTATGGCGGCGCTAGTGGCAGTGGCTACTACGGTGGCGGTGCCAGTGGCGGTTACGGCGACGACGATGATGATGATGAGTCTGATGACGATTACGACGATGACGACGAAGATGAGGATGATGACGAAGATGAAGAGTCAAGCGCCAGCGAGGTCGAGAAAGATGCAGCCGATAAGAAAACCACAAAATAAGATCTGTAAAACAGACAAATATTTTGATGTGCATTTTTACCCCTCACATAGCCTGTTATTGACCCATTTTATCAGTTTTTGGCTGTGTAATTGTTGGACCTGTAATGCAAGTGTGAAATAAATTCAGTTGTCGAAACAAAAAAATTCAGACTGTACTCCCAGAGATGGCAACAGGCTTCATCTGGCCGAAAACCAACCTTGTATCTTTTTGTGGCCTCAGTCGAATGCAACAAGCTCCAAGTTGGCTCTCGGCCAATTGGCCAATTGGGATGGCTCCTGCTCCATCTATACAGGGAGCAGGAGTAAAAGGATGGCTGCTGTAATCAGGCAGCTGTGCTGTGCTAAGGGTACGCACATGATGATGGCGATGCCAGCGGCGCTGCCGGCAACGACGCTGGCTGACTCTGTTGATAGACTCATCCATCTCCAATCCACTTACGAACGCAAATATTTACACAATTTACTCGAAAACGGAGGTATGAGCATATAATATTTCCAAAAACGATGGCAAACACACACACACACATCCACCACACGCACTCCAGCACAGATACCACACACACACAGACACAAATTTGGGAACATTTGGGAAATGTTTGGCAGCAGTTAAGTTAGGCAGAACAGAGCACAACATCAGGGAAAGCAGCAGAAGAGGATAGGATAGAGGACCAACCAGAACCCCATCATCATCAGGCATTGCAAATCGATGATAAGACTGAGAGAGAGAGAAAACAGAGCAGGACAGGAGCATAAGCATAGTTCTTCTGCATATGAATGAAATCATATTGTATGTGCCGTTACTTATATACATACATATATGTATATTCCTGTGCGGGTGCGTGGGTGAGTGGGAAGGCAAATCAACTGTGTACATAATACAGATTAGTATGAGAGTGGATATGGGATGCACATATAAAAACATGCACAGTAAATACAGTGATGACTCAATGGGTTGTACTCAAAGAAACCGAAAGTACTTACATATTTCATTTGTATGAGGTATGGAGATTGAAGAAACATAAGAATGACATAGAAATTTGTAACAACCAAAATATGCGGCTGAAAGACAATAATAGGCTGCATTTTGGCCATCAGCTAATCGCTAATCAAATCTAACATACACATTAAATTAAGTCTTCAATAGCCTTACGAGCCCATGATTGTATCAAAGTTTTTTAGTTTGTTTGATATAAATTACCCATAGATAGTAATTAATACTTTTAAAATGAATCTGTTCACTGCGGAAATACATATGTGGATCTGCAATTAGTAGAGTTTTGGTTGAATATTTCGATGCATTATGATTATAAACTTTGGCATAGTTGTGTAAAATGAAAAAAGACTGTAAGAAATGGTTTGATATATAAATCATAGGTGTTTTCTTTCCGATTTGTGTGTGTGTATTCCCTGCAATATTAAATTTAACCAATTGTTCGCTCTATCGAGCGTTAACTGTTTCCACATACCGATGGCACAGATCAGGGCCAGCTTAAATATAATGGCTGCCTGCCAGCACTTTGTGTGTGTATTTCAATCAAAATGGCTAGGCCCAATGTCCAAGTCAGGGCTACTCAACGAAATTAGAAATGCCATTGGGCGTGGGGTGGATGTCGACGATGACGATGGGGGCGCTCCGCAACTGAATCTCTGGCGCGGTGAGAGTGAGGAGTAGAATTGTTTTGGACACTGGTCTGTGGTGGTCACTGCCAAACATCAATAATAATTCCATAAATGTAATCAGAGAGAGGCAAACAAGGGCCGAGTCAAGTCACTGTGATTGAGCTCTTAATTGCACTGCGATATTAATCCTTGAGCCATTCATCTCACCCCCTATCGTCGCATCCTTTTGGCCACTTCCCATCATGATGACCATTTTCATTAGATGGAGTGCATTCTCAATTACCAGATGGAGGGTCCCGGAGTGAGCTAGCCATCAAGAGTTTAAAGTCCCACAGAGATCAGGGTTCACACTGGCAGAATTTCTGGGAACTCTCTTTAGGGACGAGAATCACTTCCGATCGGCATTATCGCTTGCTTATTTATGCAATGCCAATATTTTGGTTGCGCGAAGTCAAGCCATAACAAAAATAGAGTCCGGGCCGGGTTCAGGATTAGCTGGGAAAATCCTTGGGACTATCCGAAAAACACGTGGAAAAGTCAAAAAGTCCGGCTTATGGTCAAACGCAATTAGCGTTAATTACAACGGAAAACAGCCTGAAC